AACACGGACTTTCAACTCCCTCCAAAGATTTTCTATGGGATTGAGATCTGGAGACTGGCTAGGCCACTCCAGGACCTTGAAATGCTTCTTACGAAGCAACTCCTTCGTTGCCCGGGCGGTGTGTTTGGGATCATTGTCATGCTGAAAGACCCAGCCACGTTTCATCTTCAATGCCCTTGCTGATGGAAGGAGGTTTTCACTCAAAATCTCACGATACATGGCCCCATTTATTCTTTCCTTTACACGGATCAGTCGTCCTGGTCCCTTTGCATAAAAACAGCCCCAAAGCATGATGTTTCTACCCCCATGCTTCACAGTAGGTATGGTGTTCTTTGGATGCAACTCAGCATTCTTTGTCCACCAAATACGACGAGTTGAGTTTTTACCAAAAAGTTCTATTTTGTTTTCATCTGACCATATGACATTCTCCCAATCCTCTTCTGGATCATCCAAATGCACTCTAGCAAACTTCAGACGGGCCTGGACATGTACTGGCTTAAGCAGGGGGACACGTCTGCCACTGCAGGATTTGAGTCCCTGGTGGCGTAGTGTGTTACTGATGGTAGGCTTTGTTACTTTGGTCCCAGCTCTCTGCAGGTCATTCACTAGGTCCCCCCGTGTGGTTCTGGGATTTTTGCTCACCGTTCTTGTGATCATTTTGACCCCACGGGGTGAGATCTTGCATGGAGCCCCAGATCGAGGGAGATTATCAGTGGTCTTGTATGTCTTCCATTTCCTAATAATTGCTCCCACAGTTGATTTCTTCAAACCAAGCTGCTTACCTATTGCAGATTCAGTCTTCCCAGCCTGGTGCAGGTCTACAATTTTGTTTCTGGTGTCCTTTGACAGCTCTTTGGTCTTGGCCATAGTGGAGTTTCGAGTGTGACTGTTTGAGGTTGTGGACAGGTGTCTTTTATACTGATAACAAGTTCAAACAGGTGCCATTAATACAGGTAACGAGTGGAGGACAGATGAGCCTCTTAAAGAAGAAGTCACAGGTCTGTGAGAGCCAGAAATTTTTCTTGTTTGTAGGTGACCAAATACGTATTTTCCACCATAATTTGCAAATAAATTCATTAAAAATCCTACAATGTGATTTTCTGGAAGAAAAATCTCAATTTGTCTGTCATCGTTGACGTGTACCTATGTTGAAAAATACAGGCCTCTCTCATCTTTTTAAGTGGGAGAACTTGCACAATTGGTGGCTGACTAAATATTTTTTTTCCCCCACTGTATAGACGTCCTAGCCTACCTCTTTCAGGTAAGAAATTGATGGGTTGTGCATAATAAGCTTCTAACTTATAGCCTCTGTCTCTTGTGCAATACGCACACACCTGTGCTCCACTGGCCTCGCTCCTTATAAAATGCTCCTTAACTTAGAGTCCCATGCAGGAAAAGCTAGACTAGAATAGCTTGCTGGACATTCTTTTTTTTAGCGTTTCTTATACCAATAGACTATTCGAAGAGGGAAGCAATATCTTGTTTGCTGAACGTTAAATACAGCAAACAATAGAACTCACGGGTAGTTTGAAAGAAGAGCGAACGCACAATGGTGGTAGGCTAGCAGTTATTTATTCAGAGCCATAACTATTCAATCTGATTCTAGTCCTATATTATTCAAGCATGTCATTAGAATGATGAAGATAAGGATAACGAAACTTATTTCATTTAACTGTTGAAAGTGAGGTAGGAATAAAGCAACACCAGAGAGAGAAAGAGGAATTATTATGAAAGGCCCTATTATATTTCAAAATTAAAATCAAATTCACTAGCCTATACTTGTAACTTTGTTCTCTCCCTGCTTTATCATGGTTTGAACGAGGTGTGTAATTCCAGTCCATATATTACAGTACAATACAGTACAGTACAGTAATACAGTGCACACTCAAAAAGATTAGCCTATTGGAGCTTGTTTCATTTATTTTCCCAAGAGAGCATATACTGTAGCTAGATTTTCTGTTTTTCTGTTGTGCATAATGTGCAGTAGACCCCTAGATTTTTTCCACATTTTGTTATGTTACAGCCTTATTCTAAATGGAATCTACACACAATACCCCATAATGACAAAGCGAAAACAGGTTTTTATAATTTTTTACAAATTTATAAAAAAGAACAACCTTATTTACATAAGTATTCAGACCCTTTGCTATGACACTCAAAATTGAGCTCGGTGCATCCTGTTTCCATTGATCATCCTTGAGATGTTTCTACAACTTAATTGCAGTCCATCTGTGGTAAATTCATTGATTGGACATGATTTGGAAAGGCACACACCTGTCTATATAAGGTCCCACAGTTGACAGTGCATGTCAGAGCAAAAACCAAGCCATGAGGTTGAAGGAATTGTCCGAAGAGCTCCAAAACAGGATTGTGTCGAAGCACAGATCTGGGGAAGGGTACCAATAAATTTCTGCAGCATTGAAGGTCCCCAAGAACACAGTGGCCTCCATCATTCTTAAATGGAAGAAGTTTGGAACCTCCAAGACTGGGGCGAAGGTTCACCTTCCAACAGGACAATTACCCTAAGCACACAGCCAAGATAACACAGGAGTGGCTTTGGGACAAGTCTCAGAATGTCCTTGAGTGGCCCAGCCAGAGCCCGGACTTGAACCCGATCGAACATCTCTGGAGAGACCTGAAAATGCTCCCCATCCAACCTGACAGAGCTTGAGAGGATCTGCAGAGAAGAATGTGAGAAACCCCCCAAATACAAGTGTGCCAAGCTTGTAGCTTCATACCGAAGAAGACTCAAGGCTGTAATCGCTGCCAAATGTACTTCAACAAAGTACTGAGTAAAGAGTTGTTTTTAATACATTTGCAAAGATTTCTAAAAACCTGTTTTTGCTTTGTCATTATGGGGTATTGTGTGTAGATTGACAAGAAAAATAAGGCTATAACGTAACAAAATGTGGAAAAATTCAAGTGGTGTGAATACTTTCCGAATGCAGTGTATATCATGTCTATTGGATAACGGTACAATCATTTGCGCTTTTCTGGGCTTGGGCTCATTTTGGCCAAAGCACTTGGCCCTAAGCCCTTTATCGAGTGTCCACTTGTTCCGTTCGATAGTGATCACTCGAGTCTGCAAGTGTTTTGGCCAAAATGAGCATTGACATCACACTCGACATCCCAACTGCCACTTATCAGTATTCAACGTATTCTAAATCTATTCCCAACCATTGTCTCCCGCAACCTGTCTTGTGCATAACTCACTCGCTATGAAACACGGGCACTGGGGCAGACACAGACGCATACTCTGATAGACAGTGAGAAAGTTGGATGGAATTTGAATAGACATCGCTCTACAAAATATGTGCAAGTACTGTATATCGTCACCAGTGATTTCATCAGCTGATTTAGCTTGTTGTAGCCTGTCTGCTGCTAGCTAGCTTCACTGACAAACACGTATATGGATTTTTGATAGCTAGCTAGGGATGTTGGGCACTGCCCTGATAAACAGTGTGTAGCTTGTCACTTATTTATGATAGTTTGACAGCTTGCTGATGAAGATGTAGACATGTTCTCATCATGTTTTCAAAGCACCAATCACTATGTTGTAACATTGGGTCAGCTAAAAGCACAGCGGAGCAGCAGACTCGATACTGTACTGATTCGGGGCAGAGCAGGCTCTTCGTTGCTGTCGCTTGCCTTTCTCTGACATTTTTCCAATTTAACGACGATGTGCTTTGTAGCCATGTCAAATCATTTGAAAGATGCATAACTCCTAACGTTACAGCATTGTTGCGTTAGGTATTTGTTTAATTTAAATTGTCCCTTCATGATGATGATCGGGATCTGTTAGTGATAGTTTTATGATAACTGCACTGTGATTTAGATTTTGCGGAAGAAACGGTTAGGGAGTTTTTCTTAACGTTAATGTCCCAATTTCATTTAAACGTTTTAACATTTAAACATTCACACCCCTAATTTGATTTCTTTCATTTAATTCATGCTCAAAATCCAAAAGACTGAATTTTGCAGAATATACAGTAACATCAGGACAATACTAAAAAAAAAACACAACTCAAGGTACTACATACACTTAGTCTACGATTAATAATTAATAATTCCAGTTATTGCGATGTTCAGTGTTTAATGCTCTTTTTAAAGTAGCATTTTGACGTAGTATACAGTGGTCTCTACAGTAGTGTGAAAAAAAACATATTTTTCTTCTCCATGTTAGTAAAATGGCTTACGTAACATTCAAGCACAAGGTGGATGTCATTACTTACAAAATAAATATTGTTGAATGCAGCTGGCTGATTCACTTCATGACTCCATCTGTAGTCACTCACTACTAATGTAGCCCTACTGTATGAGTGAGTGGCTTCATATTCATCATTCTGATCCTGTGGTGCAGTGGTTTTCTCAAAGTCAGTGTCTTGGAGGCATTTTATTTTCATCTTGATTAATAGGGACAATACGATGCTTCACACTCACTCGCCTGGGCTATTTTTAGCAACTCTTTGTGATGTCAAGAGACTGGAGAGATGGGATATGTACTTACACCAATCGTAAAAGGAACATTTACAAATACGTTTGATTGTGAATAATCTTTTTCTGTTGTGGTTCATGTTTTAAAGTAATAGACGTTGTTTTTTGGAGTGTGGGAACAGCTATTTTTGTATTGGAAGTGTTTTTTTTCATCCCCTTTGCCTGCATCCTCTGAGTTGACGTTTCACTGCAATTGTGGCTTCAACCTTTTAAGCTGCATGCTCAAACATTTGAATTCAACAGAAGGCACAAATATTTTCCTGTTGTTTCAAAGTATTAGATACCAAATAGATAGTACATGGAAAAGGGACTGAGAGACCACTGTTAGATCAGTTATTTACGTCACTGTAAATTGGTACATTGGAAATATTTTTGCTAATGTTTTTAATGCTTTTAGTGTCCTGCAAAGATGCATATGAACTCTGAGGTAAATGGGAAAGTGATGTTTATCAAAAACACTGTCGTGAAACGTATACCGCTGTCTTCGTGGAAAGGTGTGTGACAGAATGAAGTCGGAAAACAAAACAACCTCAAGTAATTAGTTAATTCACTGAAATGCAACCTCTCTCAGAGAATCTGGGAATTTGGCTCTTATTTTTGCTCTATTATTAGCCGTCCCTAATAAGTTTGTCCTGAATTTGTCCTGACCACATAAACTGACCAGGAAAGTCTCTTGGACCTAAAATAGTTATACAATGACTAATACCAAGTGTTTTTTCTTGGTCTCCAAAGGGAGACGTGGTTTGGATTCCACTTCTGACACCAATATTATGCTAGCTAGCTTTGGTGAGCAATGAACATTCATTCATTCAGCCATCTTTATTAAAAACTGTAACTTTTTGTGCCCCCAGGTGGCAGCCATAATCATATATCATATCAGTACAGTAAGGTTGCTTGTTTATAGGAAAAACATGGGGCCAAAATTCTTAGCATTAGTGCTGATGTAGCCTAATACTCGTTCTCTCCGCAGGGCTAAAGAAGGGGCGCTTCTGGATCACGCCCGACCCGTACCACAACGACGACAACATCCAAATTGGCCGCGAGGTCAAGATCTCCTGCCAGGTGGAGGCAACGCCCCCTGAGGAGCTCCTGTTCAGTTGGCTGAAGAATGGCCGTCCACTGCGCAGCTCGGAGCGCATGGTCATCACCCACACCGACCCCGACGTCCAGCCCGGCACTACCAACCTGGACATTATTGACCTCAAGTTCACCGACTTCGGCACGTACACCTGCGTGGCGGTGCTGAAGAACGGAGGTATCCCCGAAGTCAGCATCGACGTCAATATCTCTTCGACTACAGGTGAGCAATGGACTGTACTGTACTGTTGTCCTTCTAGTCGTTTAATAGCTTTGTGGCACAGTAGACTAAGGTCATCTGGTCAGCCCCTGTTTTAGTGCACAGAACTAGGCCAGCTTTGTCACGTCTAAAGTAGCATATTGTAGAACTCATCATTACAGGACGTCATAGGTTACAGCAGGGCTCTCCAACCTTGTTCCTGGAGAGCTACCCTTCTGTAGGTTTTCCCTCCAACCCCAGTTGTATTTAACCTGATTCAGCTTATCTACCCGCTAATTATTAGACTCAGGTGCGCTAGATTAAGGTTGGAGCAAAAACCTACAGGACAGTAGCACTCCAGGAACAGGTTTGGAGAGCCCTGTGTTACAGGGATATGGAAAGTCAACAAGATCTTTTAGTGTTTATGTAGGATGAGATGCTGGGACAGCCCCTCCACACACACCCCTACCCCTCTTAGTAGGCAATACACAAAGTGCATACTACAGTATGTGGACTTTGATAGGAAGGACACGCCAAGACTGAACGATGGGCAGATGTGGCAAAAACACAGACCGCCATTCATATACAGTCCATAATCCTTATGTGTTGGGTTTTAAAGCATGATGAGTTTCCAGTAAAGTCCGGATTCTAATGTGAGTGTTTTCGGGCCAGATTGTTGGGATCTGTCCATTCAATCAGGCCTAAATCAGTCGCTAATATGCACATTCCTACTTAATGATTATTTACAGCCTGCTAGTTTAGGGTCACCTGTGTTATTTTCTCCTAATTAGCTACTCCCTCTGTATTTTGCCTTTAGTTTGTTGGCATACAAACTGATGAAAAAGATCTTTAGGTGTTTTTTCTTTAGTAATGAGTTAGTAATGCCGGAGTGGAACATCAAATGTTTGATGATAAGCCCGGACGTTGACATTATTATTCCTGTTGTGGGCGGGAGGATTGGTGAATTGGCAATGAAACAGAAGGAGAACTTAAAAACATCAAGGAGCTGACCATTGGGATCATTGAAGTCCATTAAAACTACTGTTGTGAGTAGTTACAACGCATAAACCCAGAAATAGATGAGTCTATGTGCGGCGGGGAGCCTTTGTAGGACATGCTAATGTGCATCAACCTGGAAATACACACACACACACACACACACACACACACACACACACACACACACACACACACACACACACACACACACATACTTCCCTCCCTGGCACAGGTCTCCTGCAACTACTTACGTAAGTCTCAGCTGGTGTGTCTTTCCTTCCCTCTCATCTAGCTGTCTTGATCTGTTCGTCAGATTCACATTTTTAGGGCCTGCGTTTACCATTGTTGTCACCTCCAGTATATTAACCAATGGAGCAGAGAAGCAGCCTCCAACATGCATTACTCAAATCCATTTGGGCTAAGCAAAGTAAAGCCCATCCAGAATGATTGGCCTGGGTTGGGATGATGGTATATGCCTTTGGCAGAGAACCCCCGTAGGGGAGCGGAGCTGAAAGCTCAGGGGGAGATAGCTACCCCTCAAACGCGCCAAATAAATGACCTGGCAAGCCCAGGAGACCTGTCTGTTCATTCGTTGCCTCTCTGCTCTGTGTTCCCTTCCCTTACTGTATTACATATTTGGTGCTATTTTTGTATTCATAGCTTTTTATGTCAGTGTAGCAGCAGCGGATTGGGATTGCAGTAGCAGAGGATGAAGGATGAAATGAAACAAGGATGCCACAGTCATAGCACTGTTGGAGAGGGGGGGGGGAGGATGAGGGGGTGGTTCAGAGGGTTGGATGATCAGAATGCACAGGGCAAAAATCAAAGTGCTTCCTGCCTCCCACTGGGTGATTGTGATCAAGAGAGTGGAGGGGGAAAACACTGAGTAATACTTATACTGTCTACCAACCCCTAATCCTGGCTGGAGAACTACAGGGTGTGCAGGCTTTTGTTCTTGCCCACCTGATTCAGCTAATCAAGGTCTAGGTTATTTGTTGATTAGTTGAATCAAGTGTTAGTGCTGGGTTGGGATAAAACCTAGCTCTACCACAAAGTAAAATCATGTTAAATAACATCACGTAAAGTAACACAACGTAAAGTAACATAACGTAAAGTAACATCACGTAAAGTAACAAAGTAACATCACGTAAAGTAACATCACGTAAAGTAACATCACGTAAAGTAACATCACGTAAAGTAACATCACGTAAAGTAACATCACGTAAAGTAACATCACGTAAAGTAACATCGCGTAAACTAACATTGTGTAAAGTAACATTGCGTAAAGTAACATAACGTAAGAAACATAACCTAAAGTAGCATCACATAAAGTAACATCACATAAGGGAACATCATGTAAAGTAATGTAACGCAACGAAACATCACGTAAAGTAACACCACGCAAAGTTAAGTAACGTAAAGTGACGTTAAGTTTCTTTCCTCCTTCTCTCCCAGTCCCTCCGGAGCTGACAGTGCCTCGGGGCAAGTCCCCCATGGTGGTCCAGGAGGGTGACACAGTGGACCTGCAGTGCCTGGTATCGGGGAAGCCAAAACCCATCATCCTATGGTCGAGGGCTGACAAGGAGGCGCCTATGCCCGATGGCAGCCTTCAGACGGAGAGCTATGATGGTGTGCTACGAATTGTCAATGTATCGCGCGAGATGACTGGAACCTACCGCTGCGCCACCAGCCAGTACAACGGCTTCAACGTGAAGCCCCGGGAAGCGCTGGTGGAGCTCACTGTGCAATGTGAGTATTCTGGATATACAGTGTTTTTACAGTACACTTCTGATAAATGCAATGGGTTTGAACCACGGTGGGTTACATTGGTGCTGTGAGCTGGATAGGTCTCTATAAGGAGGAGGTCAGGAGAGGTAGATGATCCGTGCAAAATAAAAAAATAAATATTTGAATTGTGACTTGAAATCGTTTTAAGGGGTTTAAGTTAGATGTGTGGGCATTTCTTAAGTTGCTATCGGTATTAGATTTTGTTCGATACATCATACGTCATCAATTCAATACATCATTAGTTTCAATTAGAAACAGCACATAACATTGGTGCGTTACACATTGCACAAATCATCTCGCCTCGGCTAATCATTAAAACGTCTGGATTAAATTTCCCCAGGTGGAGAGGTTAATGTAACGTAATCAATTCCCTATTGGACGTTCTACGTTCAAAGAAACATTTCAACACAACTTTAACTCAGTCACGCCGAAAAAGTGACCGAAAAGGCTTGTATCTCAGTGTTAATGACCATTAGCGGCCTACACTTAACGTTTATTGACCTTGTACATACATGCGTACAAGGAAATGATCTGGTGACATGATGGAGGAAGACACTATTAGAGGAGCCTTGGTGGATGCATACCAAATGGCACCCAATTCCCAATGTAGTGCACTACTCTGGTCAAAAGTAGTGCACTACATAGGGAATATGGTGCCATGTGGGATGCAGGCTGTGAGAAACATCCAGTCTAATTAATAGCGTCTGTGTTACTCTTAATATCGAAGAGGAGGGAAGATGCCTTGGGATGGCTTATAGAAATGCAGAGCTAGTTATCGCTCGGATCACCGCTTCTTACTTACTAGTGTCAGGCCTGTGAAATATCTGTGATCTCTGACCTTATATCCCACCCACCACCACGCACACATACAGACCGTGAGGTGGGTGAGGAGTGATGAGCCATAGGAAGTGTGTGCGTGTGCGTGTGTGCGTTCATGGATTCATGAAGGCGCATGTGTGTGTTTTGAGCGTGCCCGTGTGCATTCATGGATTCATGCGGCAGTGTGTGTATGGCTGTGCGTGTGTGTATCACTAGGCCACATACACTATTCCACAGTAGCTCTCACTGAGTCACTGGAGTGAGAGCCCCTTAGGCAGCCTGGCCTCAGAGTTGTCCTTAGTGTGGCCCCAGCAGAACCGTTTGTGGAGTGTGCAGAAACAGACGAGAAGGAGGCTAGGGGAAAGGGGGGGATGAGGAAGAAGGAGGGCTGGGCCCAGAGAGCCTGGCCTTGTGGGACCAAGCCAGGTACAATCAGAACTACAGCAATAGGGCTCTGGTCAAAAGTAGTGCACTATATAGGGAGTAGGGTGCCATTTGGGACACAACCTAGCTCCAGCATTGGGATGCAGATGCCACTCCTCCTCCCCCTCTCCCTACCCAATCTCTCTCTCTTCCCCTCCTGCTCTCTCTGGATGAGTGCACTGAACAGTGTATTGACACAGATAAGGAGGTGTAGGACATGACAGTTATCTGTTACTGTACGCAGTGCTATGCACACCAAGGAATTGCAGGAGCGCCGCTATCCGACAGGAGTGGCAAACAACGGTAACAACCGGGGCCGTGGGATTGAAGGTGGGATTTTCATTGGCTCATGGTGTTGGTGTAAATATGACAGGGTAAATGCTGGGTATAATCTTGTATATGCTTGATAAAAATTAAAACGGGCAATCTGCAATTGCTACATGCATTTTTAGACTTTTCAATCAGTTATATACAGTGGTGTGAAAAAGTGTTTGCCCCCTTCCTGATTTGTTATTTGTTTGCATGTTTGTCACACTTAAATGTTTCAGAACATCAAACAAATTTAAATATTAGTCAAAGATAACACAAGTAAACACAAAATGCAGTTTTGAAATGAAGGTTGTTATTATTTAGGGAAAACAAAATCCAAACCTACATGGCCCTGTGAGAAAAAGTGTTTGCCCCCCTGTTATAACACAACTCAACTGTGGTTTATCACACCTGAGTTCAATTCCTCTAGCCACACCCAGGCCTGATTACTGCCACACCTGTTCTCAATCAAGGAATCACTTAAATAGCCTGACATAGTGAAGTAGACCAAAAGATCCTCAAAAGCTACACATCATGCCGAGATCCAAAGAAATTCATGAACAAATGAGAAAGAAAGTTATTGAGATCCATCAGTCTGGAAAAGGTTCTAAAGACATTTCCAAAGCTTTGGGACTCCAGCGAACCACAGTGAGAGCCATTATCCACAGTGAGAACCAAAATTACCCCAAGAGCGCAGCGACGACTCATCCAAGAGGTCACAAAAGACCCCACAACAACATCCAAAGAGCTGCAGGCCTCACTTGCCTCAGTTAAGGTCAGTGTTCATGACTCCACCATAAGAAAGAGACAGGGCAAAAATGGCCTGCATGGCAGAGTTCCAAGACGAAAACCACTGCTGAGCAAAAAGAACATGAAGGCTTGTCTCATTTTTGCCAGAAAACATCTTGATGATCCCCAAGACCTTTGGGAAAATACTCTGTGGACTGATGAGACAAAAGTTCAACATTTTGGAAGGTGTGTGTCCCATTACATCTGGGGTAAAAGTAACACCGCATTTCAGAAAAATAACATCACACCAACAGTAAAATATGGTGGTGGTAGTGTGATGGTCTGGGCCTGTTTTGCTGCTTCAGGACCTGGAAGACTTGCTGTGATAAATGGAACCATGAATTCTGCTGTCTACCAAAAAATCCTGAAGGAGAATGTCTGGCCATTTATTCGTGACCTCAAGCTGAAGCGAACTTGGGTTCTGCAGCAGGACAATGATCCAAAACACACCAGCAAGTCCATCTCTGAATGGCTGAAGAAAAAAAACATTAAAACTGACCTGAATCCTATTGAGATGCTGTGGCATGACCTTAAAAAGGCAGTTAATACTCGAAAACCCTCCAATGTGGCTGAATTACAACAATTCTGCAAGATGAGTGGGCCAAAATTCCTCCACAGCACTGTAAAAGACTCATGCAAGTTATCGCAAACGCATGATTGCAGTTGTTGCTGCTAAGGGTGGCCCAACCAGTTATTAGGTTGTAGGGGGCAATCACTTTTTCACACAGGGCCATGTGGGTTTGGATTTTGTTTTCCCTTAATAATAACAACCTTCATTTCAAAACTGCATTTTGTGTTTACTTGTGTTATCTTTGACTAATATTTAAATTTGTTTGATGATCTGAAACATTTACAGTGAGGGAAAAAAGTATTTGATCCCCTGCTGATTTTGTACGTTTGCCCACTGACAAAGAAATGATCAGTCTATGATTTTAATAGTAGGTTTATTTGAACAGTGAGAGACAGAATAACAACAAAAAAATCCAGAAAAACACATGTAAAAAATGTTATAAATTGATTTGCACTTTAATGAGGGAAATAAGTATTTGACCCTCTCTCAATCAGAAAGATTTCTGGCTCCCAGGTGTCTTTTATACAGGTAACGAGCTGAGATTAGGAGCACACTCTTAAAGGGAGTGCTCCTAATCTCAGCTTGTTACTTGTATAAAAGACACCTGTCCACAGAAGCAATCAATCAATCAGATTTCAAACTCTCCACCATGGCCAAGACCAAAGAGCTCTCCAAGGATGTCAGGGACAAGATTATAAACCTACACAAGGCTGGAATGGGCTACAAGACCATCGGCAAGCAGCTTGGTGAGTAGGTGACAACAGTTGGTGCGATTATTCGCAAATGGAAGAAACACAAAAGACCTGTCAATCTCCCTCGGCCTGGGGCTCCATGCAAGATCTCACCTCGTGGAGTTGCAATGATCATGAGAACGGTGAGGAATCAACCCAGAACTACATGGGAGGATCTTGTCAATGATCTCAAGGCAGCTGGGACCATAGTCACCAAGAAAACAATTGGTAACACACTACGCCGTGAAGGACTGAAATCTTGCAGTGCCCGCAAGGTCCCCCTGCTCAAGAAAGCACATATACAGGGCCGTCTGAAGTTTGCCAATGAACATCTGATTGATTCAGAGGAGAACTGGGTGAAAGTGTTGTGGTCAGATGAGACCAAAATGGAGCTCTTTGGCATCAACTCAACTCGCCGTGTTTGGAGGAGGAGGAATGCTGCCTATGACCCCAAGAACACCATCCCCACCGTCAAACATGGAGGTGGAAACATTATGTTTTGGGGGTGTTTTTCTGCTAAGAGGACAGGACAACTTCACCGCATCAAAGGGACGATGGACGGGGCCATGTACCATCAAATCTTGGGTGAGAACCTCCTTCCCTCAGCCAGGGCATTGAAAATGGGTCGGTATTCCAGCATGACAATGACCCAAAACACACAGCCAAGGCAACAAAGGAGTGGCTCAAGAAGAAGCACATTATGGTCCTGGAGTGGCCTAGCCAGTCTCCAGACCTTAATCCCATTGAAAATGTGTGAAGGGAGCTGAAGGTTCGAGTTGCCAAACGTCAGCCTCGAAACCTTAATGACTTGGAGAAGATCTGCAAAGAGGAGTGGAACAAAATCCCTCCTGAGATGTGTGCAAACCTGGTGGCCAACAACATGAAACGTCTGACCTCTGTGATTGCCAACAAGGGTTTTGCCACCAAGTACTAAGTCATGTTTTGCAGAGGGGTCAAATACTTATTTCCCTCATTAAAATGCAAATAAATTGATAACATTTCTGACATTTCTTTTCTGGATTTTGTTGTTGTTATTCTGTCTCTCACTGTTCAAATAAACCTACCATTAAAATTATAGACTGATCATGTCTTTGTCAGTGGGCAAACGTACAAAATCAGCAGGGGATCAAATACTTTTTTCCCTCACTGTAATTTATGCCTCATGCGCTTACTTTAACTGTTTTACCCCTTTGTTTGTAAACAATGTAATTGCTCAAAAATACTGAAAAGCTTCAAAACAAAACTATCATTTTTATTTCATGGATGGGCAGTACTTGTAGTCATAGCTTTTCGTTACATTTTCACATATTCGTTACATTTCTCCAGCCCCATCTCACAGCTCTTTACCAAAACAGCGGCTGGGTGTGTTCAAAGGTATTTCTAGTTGACACTTTACACAATTGTTCTCTTTTTTTGTAGCCCTAACCCTTATCCTTAACCCTTACCCTCACCCTAAGTACAGTGTAACCATGAGTAATTACAATACTTGTTACACTGTACAGGAATAATTACACAGTAACAAGCTCACAGTCATGTAAAGTGTGACCTATTTTGGCTAGCTAGTTATCTCTACAGTCTCTATACAGGTGGTGTAGTGCTATTCAATTTGTTTGTTCTACAAATCACGACACAGACAATATTCTATCAACCAGATCCACAATGGCAATACCACTGAATTTAATGTAACGCTTATATAACCTTACATCTCTATGGGCAATACTCCAGTCTACCAGATCCACAATGGCTCTACTCATAGTTTGAGTTTTACACACAAGGATGTCTGTAAACAGCTTTACAGCTGCTCCTGCTGTTCTGTGTCTGTGTGTCTGTGTGTGTGTGTGTGTGTGTGCGTGCGAGCGTGCGAGCGTGCAAGTGAGTGACTCACTGATGTTGTTTGTGGTTGCTAGCCATTTGAACGGCTCTCCACTCATTATGTAACTCCCATGCAGCCATGTCCTTGAGCACAAGGACTTAGGTTAATTCACTATGAATACAGCACGCCGCATTGTTAGCCTCTATTAATGAAAGTACATTGAATGTGATGTTCCACAGTAGTTGGCCTGCTAGTCGTGGGGTCTGTACATTCTGTACAGCAGGAGGATTTACATTACTTGCATGTTTATTTCTGCTCCTCAATAAAACTTATTTGAAACACAAAACCTTGGCAGAGAGGGAATCCTGTTCTTCCTGTGTCATGGACATGATAAATGAGGACGTTCATATTGTAGGCTTGAGGAGCATTTTGTAGGAAAATGACTATTTCTTATCAAGCGTCTTTTAAATCAAACAATCAATTTTGTATGGTTTACCAATGATTAGAAGAGTTTTCTTGGACTCACTCTGTGTGCAATAAGTGTTTTTGAATGACTACCTCATCTCTGTACCCCATACATACAATTATCTGTAAGGTCCCTCAGTCGAGCAGTGAATTTCAAAGACAGAATCAATCACAAAAGCCAGGGAGGTTTTCCAATGTCTCGCAAAGAAGGGCACCTATTGGTAGATGGGTAAAAAAAAGCAGACATTTAATATCCCTTTGAGCATGGTGAAGTTATTAATTACACTTTGGATGGTGTATCAATACACCCAGTCACTACAAAGATACAGGCGTCCTTCCTAACTCAGTTGCCGGAGAGGAAGGAAACCGCTCAGGGATTACACCTTTAGGCCAATGGTGACTTTAAAACAGTTACAGAGTTTAATGGCTGTGATAGGAGAAAACAGAGGATGGATCACCAACATTGTAGTTACTCCACAATACTAACCTAATTGACAGAACAGAGTTAAAAGAAGGAAGCCTGTACAGAATAAAAATATTCCAAAACATGCATCCTGTTTGCAACAAGGCACTAAAGTAATACTGCTAAAAATTAGGAAAAGCAAATAACTTGTTGTCCTGAATGCCAAGTGTTATGTTTGGGGCAAATACAATACAACACATTACTGAGTACCACTCTTCATATTTTGAAGCATAATTGTGGCTGCCTCATGTTATGGGTACGCTTGTAATCGTTAAGGACTGGGGATTTTTTCAGGATAAAAAAGAAACAGAATGGAGCCAAGCACAAACAAAATCCAAGAGGAAAACCTGGTTCAGTCTGGTTTGCACCAGACACTGGGAGATTAATTCACCTTTCAGCAGGACAATAACCTAAAACACAAATCTACACTGGAGTTGCTTACAAAGAAGACAGTGAATGCTTCTGAGTGGCTGAGTTACAGTTTTGACTTAAATCTACTTGAAAATCTATAGCAAGACCTGAAAATGGTTGTCTAGCAATGATCAACAACCAATTTGACAGAGCTTGAAGAATTTTGAAAAGAATAATGGGCATATTGTCACGATCGTCTTGAAAAGAAGTAGACCAATGCGCAGCGTGTTGAGCGAACATGATTGACTTTATTACCGTCAGTGATAATAAGCACACTAAACAAAACAATAAACGACTCGTGAAGTCCACGGTGACAAAGACCGACAAGGAACAAAAACCCACAAACCCAAAGTGAAACACAGACAGTTAAATATGGCTCCCAATCAGAGACAACCAGCAAACAGCTGACACTCGTTGCCTCTGATTGGGAGTCACTCAGTCAAACATAGAAAATGACGAACTAGAACACCCAACATAGAAACAGAACACATAGAATGAACACACCCTGGCTCAACATAATGAGTCCCAGAGCCAGGGTGTGACAGTACCCCCCCCTAAAGGCGCGGACTGCGACCGCGCCTCAACTAAACAAAACAGGGGAGGGCTGGGCGGGCATACCTCCTCGGCGGCGGTTCTGGCTCCGGCCTTGACCACCACCCTCCAATACACCCCCCATAGTGCCCCTTGTCCAGTCTGTCGACTCGCACCCCTGGCTTGGTGCGTGGAGGAGGAACGGGCCTTACCAGGCTGACTTCTCGCACCCCTGGCTTAGTGCGAGTGGCAGGAACAGGCCAGACCGGGCTGGCGACGCGCACCGTAGGTTTGGTGCGAGTGGCAGGAACAGGCCGGGTCGGGCTGGCGACGCGCACCGTAGACTTCGTGCGGGTGGCAGGAACAGGCCGGACCGGGCTGGCGACGCGCACCGTAGGTTTAGTGCGTGGAGCAGGGACAGGCCGGGCTGGGCTGTCGACGCACACCGTAGGCTTGGTGCGTGGAGCAGGGACAGGCCGGGCTGGGCTGTCGACGCACACCGTAGGCTTCGTGCGTGGAGCAGGGACAGGCCGGACCGGGCTGGCGACGCACACCGTAGGCTTGGTGCGTGGAGCAGGGACAGGCCGGGCTGGGCTGCCGACGCACACCGTAGGCTTGGTGCGGGTGGCAGGAACAGGCCGGGTCGGGCTGGCGACGCGCACCGTAGGTTTAGTGCATGGAGCAGGGACAGGCCGGACTGGGCTGGCGACGCACACCGTAGGCTTGGTGCGTGGAGCAGGGACAGGCCGGACTGGGCTGGCGACGCACACCGTAGGCTTGGTGCGTGGAGCAGGGACAGGCCGAACCGGGCTGTGGAGACGGATAGGAGGCCTGGAGTGAATAGCGGCCACCACCCGTCCTGGCTGAATGCCTACCCTCACACACTCTGTGTGAGGCATCCGCACAGGACGTACAGGGCGGTATACCCCTGGCCTGGTGGCCTTCTGGATCCGCCCCCTTTTCTCCTCCGTCAGCCCCGTCGTCCATGACGTGTGCCCCCCCCTAAAAAATTTCTGGGGTTGCCTCACGACCGTCCGACGACGACCCTGATCACGCCGTAGCTCCTCTCTACGGCGCGCCTCCACCGTCTCACTCCATGGCCGGCGATCCATCCCGGCCAGGATTTCCTCCCAGGTCCAGGACCCCTGCCCGTCCAAGATCTGCTCCCACGTCCAGGCTGCCTGCTCCTGGACACGCTGCTTGGTCTTGGTATGGTGGGTTTTTCTGTCACGATCGTCTTGAAAAGAAGTAGACCAATGCGCAGCGTGTTGAGCGAACATGATTGACTTTATTACCGTCAGTGATAATAAGCACACTAAACAAAACAATAAATGACTCGTGAAGTCCACGGTGACAAAGACCGACAAGGAACAAAAACCCACAAACCCAAAGTGAAACACAGACAGTTAAATATGGCTCCCAATCAGAGACAACCAGCAAACAGCTGACACTCGTTGCCTCTGATTGGGAGTCACTCAGTCAAACATAGAAAATGACGAACTAGAACACCCAACATAGAAACAGAACACATAGAATGAACACACCCTGGCTCAACATAATGAGTCCCAGAGCCAGGGTGTGACACATATGTTGCACAATCCAGGTGTAGAAAGCTCTTAGAGACATACCCAGAAAAACTCACAGCTGTAGTCACTGCCAAAGGTGCTTCTACAAAGTGTTAACTCAGGGGTGTGAATACTTATGTAAATGTGATATTTCTGTATTCATTTTAATACATTTGCAAAAATGTCTAAAAACATGTTTTTACTTTGTCATTATGGGGTATTTGGTGTAGATGGGTGAGAGAAAAAATATATATTTACTACATTTTGAATTCAAGCTGTAACACAACAAAATGTGGAATAAGTCTAGGGGTATGAATACTTTCTGAAGGCACTGTAGTGTACTACTTTTGACCAGGGCTCATAGGGCTCTGGTCAACAGTAGATGGGTCCTGGTCAAAAGTAGTGCACTATAGGGAATAGGGTGCCATTTGGAACACAATCATGGTTTGCCAATCTGGGATTGTTGCTTTTTATGTCGCTCTCATGTTTGATATTATTAATGATGTATTCAAATGCGCAACTTTGGTTTTAGAAGTGGTGGGGACATACAGTACCAGTCAAAAGTTTGGACACACCTACTCATTCAAGGGTTTTTCTTTCTTTTTACTATTTTCTACATTGTAGAATAATAGTGAAGACATCAAAACTATGAAATAACACATATGGAATCATGTAGTAACCAGAAAAGTGTTAAACAAGTCAAAATATATTTTATATTTGAGATTCTTCAAATAGCCACCCTTTGCCTTGATGACAGCTTTGCACACTCTTGGCATTCTCTCATCCAGTCTTGAAGGAGTTCCCACATATGCTGAGCACTTGTTGGCTGCTATAAAATATAAACCCTTGAATGAGTAGGTGTTCTAAAACTTTTGATCGGTGGTGTATATTATTATATATTTTTTTCCCAGTCGGATAAACACTCCAAACAGCCTATCCGATCGCTCAGAGGTGTCCACATAGTCCTAAAGCACACTGTTGCCTCGTTTTGTATCACATTCAAATCAAATCAAGTTTTATTGGCCACATGCGCCGAATACAACAGGTGCAGACATTACAGTGAAATGCTTACTTACAGCCCTTAACCAACAGTGCATTATTTGTAATAAAAACGTAGAATAAAACCACAAAAAAAGTGTTGAGAAAAAAAGAGCAGAAGTAAAATAAAATAACAGTAGGGAGGCTATATATACAGGGGGGTACCGGTGCAGAGTCAATGTGCGGGGGCACCGGCTAGTTGAGGTAGTTGAAGTAATATGTAGATGTGGGTAGAGTGATATAACTTGGGGGGACAAAAATGCAATTTCAGGATGTGAGAGGGACTTGTCCCCCCCGTCCCCAGTGAAAGTTGTGCCCCTGTTCAAATGAGTCCTGGCAAAATACCAGCTCTAAGAGAGCATGTCATCATAAATCCACAGCTGCTCAACGACTGAATTATTAAATTAATGACTATTATTAAATTAACTATTTCATATCTGTGCAGCGCACCAATTATATTTAGCGTAAGTTATGAAGTATTAAATTGTAAAACATAATGTGGTGTTACAGTAGTGATATAGTGCATACTGTGCGTGACAGATATCTGTAAACCAACTGTTTGTGTTCCCCTTAGCCTCTGGTCTGGAGGCAAGGATCACATTATTTATGTCACATGTCCAGTCTGTCAGTCTGACGGTACTATTAGTACGTCATGTACTCTCTTCTCCTTAGTATGTGTAGTCCTTTAGGGTAAAGTCTTCAGTAGTGTGTTGTGTTCCCTCCTCCATAGCAGAGGCCCAGTGGACTGTGTGTGTGGCTAATTGAAGGAGATGCCTGTTCGTGATGACTCATACATACAAACTTCACTGTATATAGTTGAAGTCGGAAGTTTTCATACACTTAGGTTGGAGTCATTAAAACTCATTTTTCAACCACTCCACAAATGTCTTGTTAACAAACTATAGTTTTGGCAAGTCGGTTAGGACATCTGCTTTGTGCATGACACAAGTAATTTTTCCAACAATTGTTTACAGACAGATTATTTCACTTATAATTCAATGTATCACAATTCCAGTGGGTCAGAAGTTTACATACACTACGTTGACTGTGCCTTTAAACAGCTTGGAAAATTCCAGAAAATGATGTCATGGCTTTAGAAGCTTCGGATAGGCTAATTGACATCATTTGAGTCAATTGGAGGTGTACCTGTGGATGTATTTCAAGGCCTAACTTCAAACTCAGTGCCTCTTTGCTTGACATCGTAGGAATATCAAAAGAAATCAGCAAATACTTCAGAAAAAAAATTGTAGACCTCCACAAGTCTGGTTCATCCTTGGGAGCAATTTCCAAACGCCTGAAGGTACCACGCTCCTCTGTAAAAACAATACTACGGTTTGCAACTGCACATGGGGACAAAGATCGTACTTTTTGGAGAAATGTCCTCTGGTCTGATGAAACAGAAATAGAACTGTTTGGCCATAATGACCATCATTATGTTTGGAGGAAAAAGGGGGCCGCTTGCAAGCCGAAGAACACCATCCTAACCGTGAAACACGGGGGTGGCAGCATCATGCTGTGGGGGTGCTTTGCTGCAGGAGTGACTGGTGCACTTCACAAAAGTCAGTCAGGAAGTTAAAGCTTGGTCGCAAATGGGTCTTCCAAATGGACAATGACTGTCAGATGGGGTGATGTGTATGCGGCGGTGAAGTCAGGCACAGGACACAGAGGATCAAGATGACTACTTTACTTCAAGTAAACACGCACAAAACAAAAGTCTCCACAACACTGGAGGAGTAAACACGCGCTGTGCGTAAAAGGCGAACTAGAATTGCCGAACATCAAACAGGACAAAATGACAATAACACACAAAGGCCAAACGTAAAACAAGGGAACTTATATGTTACACAATCAACACAAAATAAGTAACAGGTGTACAAACTAGACAACACAAGACAAACACCGAAACATCGATCGGCAGTAGCTAGTTCTCCGGGGACGACGAACGCCGAAGCCTGCCCGAGAAAGGAGGAGGAGCAGTCTCGGAGCAGCCTGTAACATACCTCGTTCAATCTCCTCAGGACTTTAAATGGCCCCACAAACCGCCGACCCAGCTTCCGGCAGGGCAGGCGAAGGGGCAGGTTTCAAGTCAAGAGCCAGACTCGATCTCCAGGTGCATACACTGGACCCTCACTGCGGTGGCGATCAGCGCTCGCCTTCTGCCTACGAATAGCCCGCTGCAGATGGACATGTGCAGCGTTCCATGTCTCCTCCGAGCGCCGAAACCATTCATCCACCGCAGGAGCCTCGATCTGGGTCTGATGCCAGGGTGCCAGAACCGGCTGATACCCCAACACACACTGAAAAGGGGTCAGATTCGTAGAGGAGTGGCGAAGGGAGTTCTGGGCAATCTCTGCCCAGAGGATATACCGACCACTCCTCCTGCCGGTCCTGACAATAAGACCTCAGAAACCTACCCACATCCTGGTTCACTCTCTCCACCTGCCCATTACTCTCAGGGTGGAAACCCGAGGTAAGGCTAACCGAGACCCCCAAGCGTTCCATAAACGCCCTCCAGGTGAACTGGGGACCCCGATCAGACACTATATCCTCAGGTACCCCGTAGTGCCGGAAGACGTGAGTAAACAGGGCCTCAGCAGTTTGTAGGGCAGTAGGGACACCCGGCATTGGGATGAGACGACAGGCCTTAGAAAACCGATCCACAACGACCAGAATAGTGGTATTCCCCTGGGAGGGGGGAAGGTCCGTGACAAAGTCTACCGATAGGTGAGACCACCGCCGTTGTGGAACGGGTAGGGGTTGTAACTTCCCCCTGGGCAGGTGTCTAGGCGCCTTACACTGAGCGCACACCGAGCAGGAGGAGACATAAACCCTCACGTCCTTTGCCAATGTTGGCCACCATTACTTTTCACTAAGGCAGTGCACTGTCCGGCCAATACCCGGATGTCCAGAAGAGGGTGACGTATGAGCCCAATAAATTAGTAGATCACGAATCTCGAGCGGCACGTACTTCCGCCCCTCCGGACACTCTGGAGGAGTAGGGTCGGTACGTAACGTCCGCTCGATCTCCGCATCGACCTCCCACACCACCGGTGCCACCAGACAAGACTCCGGCAGTATGGGAGTGGGCTCAATGGACCTCTCCTCTGTGTCATATCGCCGGGACAGGGCGTCTGCCTTAACGTTCTGTGACCCTGGTATATAGGTGAGCTTAAAGACAAACCGGGCCAGAAACATGGCCCACCTAGCCTGACGAGGGTTCAGTCTCCTAGCTGCCCGGATGTACTCCAGGTTACGATGGTCAGTCAGAATGAGAAAAGGGTGTTGAGCCCCCTCAAGCCAATACCTCCACCCCTAGCAGCTCCCTGTCCCCCACGTCGTAATTACGTTCCGCCGGGCTGAGCTTCTTAGAGTAAAAAGCACAGGGCCGGAGTTTAGGAGGCATGCCTGAGCGTTGAGACAGTACAGCCCCAAAACCAGCCTCTGACGCGTCCACCTCCACTTGGAACGCCAAAGAGGGGTCCGGATGTGCCAGCACCGGAACCGAGGTGAACAGGTCCTTCAGTTGTCTAAACGCCCTGTCCGCCTCAGCCGACCACTGCAAACGCACCGGGCCCCCCTTTAGCAGGGAGGTGATGGAAGCTGCTACCTGTCCAAAACCCCGGATAAACCTCCGGTAGTAATTGGCAAAACCCAAAAACCGCTGCACCTCCTTAACCGTGGTAGGAGTCTGCCAATTATGCACGGCTGAAACGCGGTCAATCTCCATCTCCACCCCTGACGCGGGAAAACGATGGCCCAGGAAGGAGATGGACTCCTGGAAAAACAGGCATTTCTCCGCCTTCACATACAAGTCATGCTCCAACAGCCTACCCAACACTCGACGCACCAGGGCCACATGCCCGGCTTGTGTAGCAGAGTATACTAGAATGTCGTCAATATACACCACTACACCCTGCCCATGCAAATCCTGGAAAATCTCGTCCAACAAATGATTGGAAGACTGAAGGAGCATTCATTAACCCGTATGGCATGACGAGATACTCATAGTGACCCGAGGTGGTACTAAATGCTGTTTTCCATTCATCTCCCTCCCTAATGCGCACCAGGTTGTAGGCGCTCCTGAGATCCAATTTTGTGAAGAAGCGCGCTCCGTGTAATGACTCCATCATACTCGCAATCAGAGGGAGAGGATAACTGTATTTAACAGTGATCTGATTGAGACTACGGTAATCAATACACGGGCGCAAACCTCCATCCTTCTTCTTCACAAAAAAGAAACTTGAGGACGCAGGCGAAGTGGAGGGCCGTATGTATCCCTGTCTCAGAGACTCGGCGATGTATGTCTCCATAGCCGCCGTCTCCTCTTGAGACAGAGGATACACATGACTACGCGGAAGTGCAGAACCTGCCTGGAGGTCTATCGCACAATCCCCCTGTCTATGAGGTGGCAATCGCGTCGCCCTCTTCTTACTGAACACGAGTGCCAAATCATCATACTCAGGAGGAATGTGCTGTGCGGGCATTTGGTTCTGACTTTCCACCGTGGTCGCCCCTACGGAAACACCTATACAACGCCCGACACACTGATCAGACCACTCCCTGAGAGCCTTCTGTTGCCACGAAATGGTGGGGTCATGAGAGATTAACCAAGGAAGCCCCAGCACCACGGGAAACGCAGGAGAGTCGATGTATGATTTCCTCATGACCCCCCTGCGTCTTCATCTTTATTGGTGCCGTGACCTCCCTAATTAAACCTGATCCCAAAGGACGGCTATCTAGGGCATGAATAGGAAAAGGCACATCTACTGGTAGGAGGGGAATCCCTAACTTAACACAGAAATTACGATCAATAAAATTCCCAGCTGCGCCTGAATCGACTAGCGCCTTATGCTGGGAATGAGATGAAACCTGGGGAAATTCAACTTGAATACACAAGTGGACAACAGAGAGCTCTGGGTGAGTTGGGCGCCTACTCACCTGAAATGACTCATCAGTGCGTGACCTGTTGCCTCGATCCCCAGGAGACCCTCCCCAGCACCGAGCCGCAGTGTGTCCTCTACGGCCACAGTTGGTGCAGGGGACGGCCTCTCTCCGGGTCTCTCTCCTCCTCTCTCTAGCACCAGCACCCCCGAGCTCCATAGGGCTCGGCTCGGAGGTGCTGGAGGATGGAATGGACGGCCCCAACTCCGGACTTCCGCGGGTAGCCAGCAGGGTATCCAGACGGATCGACATGTCCACCAATTGATCGAAGCTTAGGTTGGTGTCCCTGCAGGCCAACTCTCGGCGAACGTCCTCTCGTAGGCTGCACCGATAGTGGTAGATGAGGGCACTCTCATTCCACCCCGCATTAGCCGCCAGAGTCCGGAAGTCCAGGGCGAACTCTTGTGCGCTCCTCTTCCCCTGTCGGAGGGGAACAGATGCTCCCCCGCCGCTTTACCCTCTGGGGGATGATCGAAAACCGCCCTGAAGCGGCGGGAGAACTCTGCATAGCTGATGGTGGCGGCGTCTATTCCCCTCCATTCGGCATTGGCCCACTCCAATGCCTTGCCGGATAGACAGGAGATGAGGGCGGAAATGCTCTCGTATCCCGAGGGCGCCGGGTGAATGGTTGCCAGGTAGAGTTCCACTTGAAGTAGGAATCCCTGACACCCGGCTGCGGTGCCATCATATGCCCTCGGGAGCGAGAGCCGAATCCCACTGGACTCCGGAGATGGTATGATGGGTCTGACCGATGGTGGTGGTGTTGTAGGAGGAGGTGTGGGCAAGCCTCCTCTTTCCCATCGGCTCAGAGTGTCCATGACATCTTGCATGGCGGTGCCAAGTCTACGGATCATGGTGTCCTGGCTGCTGACCTGATCCTCCAGAGACCCAGTTACCACCGCTGGTCCTGCTGACTCCATGGTTGGTGTGTTATTCTGTCAGATGGGGTGATGTGTATGCGGCGGTGAAGTCAGGCGCAAAACACAGAGGATCAAGATGACTACTTTACTTCAAGTAAACACGCACAAATCAAAAGTCTCCACAACACTGGAGGAGTAAACACGTGCTGTGCGTAAAAGGCGAACTAGAATTGCCGAACATCAAACAGGACAAAATGACAATAACACACAAAGGCCAAACGTAAAACAAGGGAACTTATATGTTACACAATCAACACAAAATAAGTAACAGGTGTACAAACTAGACAACACAAGACAAACACAGAAACATCGATCGGCAGTAGCTAGTACTCCGGGGACGACGAACGCCGAAGCCTGCCCGAGCAAGGAGGAGGAGCAGCCTCGGCGGAATCCGTGACAATGACCCAAAGCATACTTCCAAAGTTGTGGCAAAATGGCTTAAGGACAACAAAGTCAAGGTATTGGAGTGGCCATCACAAAGCCCTGACCTCAGCCTATAGAAAATGTGTGGGCAGAACAGAAAAAGCATGTGTGAGCAAGGAGGCCTACAAACCTGACTCAGTTACACCAGCTCTGTCAGGAGGAATGGGCCAAAATTCACCCAACTTATTGTGGGAAGCTTGTGGAAGGCTACGCTAAACGTTTGACCCTAGTTAAACAATTTAAAGGCAATGCTACCAAATACTAATTGAGTGTATGCAAACCTCTGACCCACTGGGAATGTGATGAAATAAATAAAAGCTGAAATAAATAATTCTCTCTACTATTATTCTGACATTTCACATTCTTAAAATAAGTGGTGATCCTAACTGACCTAAAACAGGGATTTTTTACTAGGATTAAATGTCAGGAATTGTAAAAAACAGAGTTTAAATGTATTTGGCTAAAGTGTATGTAAACTTCCGACTTCAACTATATGTGCATGTCATGCTTCCTCCATTTCACAAATGCCTCCTACTCATCCACCTACTCCTCCTCCTCTTCCTGCAGAGATTGTGATGGCAGGGAAGGGAACTAGGGCAGGGAAGAGAGAAGGGTAGCTAGGAGGATAATCCCTAGCACAGGACTCATTACTTGTGGTAGGTCTGGGTACCAATGTATGCCACTGGATAATGTGTACTTATATCTGTGACAGCTGAGCAGGCTCTTGCAGCAGTGTTTGCGGAGGCGGCAGATGGAGAGGAGGGATGAGAGCGAGGTAGAGGAAGAGAGAGGGAGAGAGGGACAAGAGGAAGAAAGAGGGAGAGAGAGTGAAATTGAGAAACAGAGGGAGGAAGAGAGGAGGAGGAGGATGAGAGGGGGGGGGGGGGGGGGGACGACAAGGTAAAGAGAAAGAGAGAGGAGAATGCTGCCCACCAGGGAAATGGAGAGATTGCTCTGGATTTCCCCAGGCTTTAAGCCTCCAGATCGGCATTACTCTGTTTTATTGGTAATGAAATATAATTGTTCCTCTCTCTTTCTCTCTTTCACTCTCTCGCCTCTCTCTCTCTCCCGCCCGGCCGGCATCACCCTTTACACAAAGTGACGCCATTAAGGCCTGGAGGCCATCTGTTAGTTGCTGCCCCTTGTATTTAGCCCCACTCTGTTCTATGTGTCAGGGCCAGCACATGTAAGATCGACACTTTATTTTTAATTGCATTTTAATATGCATAGAAGCCATTGTGATGGCTGTTGTTGACGACGTCATAAGACAAAGGCTTTGGTTAACTTCGGAAACTTGGAACAGGACCTTGGTTGACTCCACTAGAACTTCTCAGAAAGCCCCAGAGGACCTGCAGCCCACTTCAAAAGCCTTCCTCAGTGAAACTATTGCTGTACTGTGCAGCTTTGGTCTGGAGACTTCACAGCTCAATTATATTCAATGCTACTGTACAGTGTATGTCCATCTGCTCTGAAATAGTTCAGGCTTTAGTTCACCAGAAACATTAAAACCTCGGAAAGGCAGAAACCTTGAAAAAGCCAAAAAGGCAGAAACATTGAAAAAGTATATATAATGATAAATAGCCGCAAGACTGATTCCTATGACAGTATACATACAACTAGGAATGGGGAGCAGCACCCAATGTAGAGACCACAGCCCCACACCCAGGTAATTGAATGCTCTCAGGTAATATACTTGAACCCAATTAACTCCTGTCTCACCTTAACAGTGTGGGTGCTGCAGCAGCCAGCCAGTAATTCAGTTCCCTGCAGTCTACAGACCTTATCATTCCAAGGGTTAATTGAGTTTATTGGTCAGGCGTGTTCCGGCAAAGCGCCCAATATACAATTACGAGGCACAGTGATTCAGCTGGATCAACAGGTGGGCTCCCGAGCGAGCCGGGATCACGGAGGGCCTGGTTGGCTTTGTCAATGGATCTCAACCTAATCAGACATGCTGGCCGAAGGGGGAACTCTCCGCAGACTGGAAAGGTCAATGCCCATACTTGTCACTGTTTCACGCTCTTTGAGTTGGCGCGGGCAGGAGCGGTAACAGGGAAAAGGGAGATGGCAAGGCTTTTGGAAGCGTGGCAGCGTGTAATTTGCACTGGAGCTTTGTTCTTTGTAACAGTACAGTCATTCAGTGTCTGGTACCATTGTCACAGCTGTGTCACAGACGTGTCACAGACAGGACAGAAACATAGTTGTTATCACTAGGATTAGTGTGATTTGCAGATTGAAATTGTGACAGACTGGGGTTCAAACCCGAGTTTCCTGCTCACAATGACTGAGTTAGCTCGCTGAGCCAAAGCCCGGTCATGACAAAGACATGTCTTACAATTGCACAGGACATTGTAGTGTGGCCTATATCAAAGCATTGATATAGTATCACATTATTTGTAGGTAAAAAAGTTGGTTTGGAGTGCATGTTAAGATAAAGTTGTCAGTCATATTGTGAGAATTATATAATGACAGGTCTATCCTTAATAAAATCATAGGCTGTAGAGATTGATTAGTTTCTCATAGGCAGGCACTGTGCTACAGTAGTTTCCCCCAAATCCATAATGAATTTTCTCAGAATTCTGATAAGACACTGATGATTATTAATGTCGCTATTTAAAGCATAATGAAGGGATAATTGCAGTCGTACTCTGACATTTCACGGCCCTTTCTGCATATTTCTCCCCTCGACATAAGTGCAAAAGGATTAAACGTACAAAAAGAAACCAGCGAAGATCCATCTCCCTCTGAAAAGCCCCAATTATTGTTAGTTTAAGCATTTCATCTATGGCTGCTATTTTTTTCTTGCTTTACCCTGGTTATAAGAAATTAAATGTGTTCTGAAGTATATTGATGTAAGCTGCTCTACCATAGAATCATAGCCTCTTTAATAAACGCTTGAAATGAGCTATGGGCATCAGTTGGAAGGCAAGAAGAAGGGGAGAGAAAGCAGCATATCAAATGTAAAGAACAATTACTATAGGATGAATGGCAAATTCCTAGTCAAGCCCCCTGACTATGGGTTGATAAATGTGGGCATTGTGATCAGCACTGGGGAACTAGCTGGAGGGTGATCTATATGGAGGATGAACATTACTCTCAAAAAGGCTTCTATGACCAAGGCTCTGTCGTAGAAACACGTGTTTAATCCTGGGCTGTTCGTTAAGTATGGCATTGAAAGCTGGCTCCCAGCCTAATTAGCGAAGCACAAATTTATCCCCACCAGTATTCATTTACGAAAAAGAGAGAATACGTTTGGAGAGGGATAAAAACTAAACGACAACACTGAAATTCTGAAAGTGCTATCATCACCCAGTCATGCAATGCGAGTAGACTGAGAAATCCCCAGTTAACCCGACCATGAAATGGGGCACGGATGGAACTATTCACACTGCAGCTTTTTTGCTGCCATTTCCCCCATTTCAAGATACTGGTAACAACATAGCATTAGCATAATAATGTTCAGTCGAACAATGGAACATGTTCTATGAATGTTTCATGGACTGTCATATGGAGTGATTTTAGTGCCACCAGTAAATTCAGATTACATTTTTGGTGGCACTAAAATCACTCCATACTGTCATCTATAGCTCGGTTGCATCCATAACACAGCCCCGTCCTTCAGCTTACCAAACAGTGCCAGAATCAGGCTGTTGAAATTACATATTGTGCCTTTAAGGTTCTCTTTTCTCTTATTTACTTTTGTTTAGACGTTTTGTTCTACCTCTTATGTTTTAATCCCTGTGGTAAATAACAGGTACAAACCTTACACCATTAATGAGTAATACGGATGGCTTTTAGGAGGAAAACAAGTTTTTAGTTTTTCTATAGTTCACTTCCTTGCCTGTTGTATTCTGCATTTTTGAGGATATTTGAATTGAGAGTATTTCTCTACTTTACAATCAAAAGGCATTGCTGCTCCAAAATTCCAAACATACAGTGAGGGAAAAAAGTATTTGATCCCCTGCTGATTTTTTACGTTTGCCCACTGACAAATAAATAATCAGTCTATAATTTTAATGGTAGGTTTATTTGAACAGTGAGCGACAGTATAACAACAAAAAAATCCAGAAAAACGCATGTCAAAAATGTTATAAATTGATTTGCATTTTAATTAGGGAAATAAGTATTTGACCCCCTCTCAATCAGAAAGATTTCTGGCTCCCAGATGTCTTTTATACAGGTAACGAGCTGAGATTAGCAGCACACTCTTAAAGGGAGTGCTCCTAATCTCAGTTTGTTACCTGTATAAAAGACACCTGTCCACAGAAGCAATCAATCAATCAGATTCCAAACTCTCCACCATGGCCAAGACCAAAGAGCTCTCCAAGGATGTCAGGGACAAGATTGTAGACCTACACAAGGCTGGAATGGGCTACAAGACCATCGCCAAGCAGCTTGGTGAGAAGGTGACAACAGTTGGTGCGATTATTCGCAAATGGAAGAAACACAAAAGAACTGTCAATCTCCCTCGGCCTGGGGCTCCATGCAAGATCTCGCCTCGTGGAGTTGCAATGATCATGAGAACGGTGAGGAATCAGCCCAGAACTACACGGGAGGATCTTGTCAATGATCTCAAGGCAGCTGGGACCATAGTCACCAAGAAAACAATTGGTAACACACTACGCCGTGAAGGACTGAAATCCTGCAGCGCCCGCAAGGTCCCCCTGCTCAAGAAAGCACATATACATGCCTGTCTGAAGTTTGTCAATGAACATCTGAATGATTCAGAGGAGAACTGGGTGAAAGTCTTGTGGTCAGATGAGACCAAAATGGAGCTCTTTGGCATCAACTCAACTCGCCGTGTTTGGAGGACGAGGAATGCTGCCTATGACCCCAAGAACACCATCCCCACCGTCAAACATGGAGGTGGAAAAATTATGCTTTGGGGGTGTTTTTCTGCTAAGGGGACAGGACAACTTCACCACATCAAAAGGGACGATGGACGGGGCCATGTACCGTCAAATCTTGGGTGAGAACTTCGTTCCCTCATGCAGGGCATTGAAAATGGGTCGTGGATGGGTATTCCAGAATGACAATGACCCAAAACACACGGCCAAGGCAACAAAGGAGTGGCTCAAGAAGAAGCACATTAAGGTCCTGGAGTGTCCTAGCCAGTCTCCAGACCTTAATCCAATAGAAAGTCTGTGGAGGGAGCTGAAGATTCGAGTTGCCAAACGTCAGCCTCGAAACCTTAATGACTTGGAGAAGATCTGCAAAGAGGAGTGGGACAAAATCCCTCCTGAGATGTGTGCAAACCTGGTGGCCAACTACAAGAAACGTCTGACCTCTGTGATTGCCAACAAGGGTTTTGCCACCAAGTACTAAGTCATGTTTTGCAGAGGAGTCAAATACTTATTTCCCTCATTAAAATGCAAATCAATTTATAACATTTTTGACATATGTTTTTCTGTTTTTTTTGTTGTTGTTATTCTGTCTCTCACTGTTCAAATAAACCTACCATTAAAATTATAGACTGATAATTTATTTGTCAGTGGGCAAACGTACAAAATCAGCAGGGGATCAAAGACATTTTTCCCTCACTGTATTGTATGCGACAGAAACGTTTGAAGTTAGTTAATTTAAGCATAGTAATATTAGCTGTTCCGATGGTGGCCTGAGGAGTGCTCCCCTCCAGCCTCGTTACAGATAGCGTTCCGTTAGGTGCTTGCTGGGCTGTAGCATGCTAACAGGGTTCCTACCACTTTCATTGTTTTGCACTCAACTATGCTATTGCTAGGGTGTAGCTAAGTAAACAAACCACTTGGGAC